AGACTGGCGTTGTGACTGCTGCGCCTTTTATCATGACGTCTATCATCTAAACAGAGGACCGCCATGATATGCTGGACTGATGAAAAATCCGGATGATGACTGACAGAGACCGCTAAGAGATGTGTGAAAATAATCACTTCGGTGGAGTTAAAAGCGTTACAGCTTTGTGTTTCAACCAACACTTTCGCTGCTGCTTATTAATATGCTACAGTGGGTGTAATGTGTGTTGATGTTACCGTCAAAAGTGGCAATCCATCTATACTGGCATGATGTACTCCCTATTGAAACTGATTTTCTGTTTAGTGCACACCGGTGATACCGAGGTTTCTGCTGAATTATCGCCTAAACTTCCATCGAAGCCACGTCGTAAACTCAAACGGTATCCAGGAGGTTCACCGACTGCAATTCAACGACTGAAGGTTCACAGACTGCAAATTTCACTGACAGGTAAATTTGCCGCATGGAAAACTCACCGACCTGCAATTCGTCTAAACGAAAATCCACCGATTCTACAATTGGTCGCCAACGATTTTTTTATCAAAATTTATACTTGAGATAAAAAAATATAGGTATCTGCTAAAAATTATAACAGTATCATATAGAAATAGCATATGTGAAAGATTATGCTAATGAGCACAATAATTGCCATGCATCACCAATATATAAATTCTCAAAAAGTTCAAAGAGGTCAGTTTCAAAACGTTCTACGAGTGTGATACTTGTTACGAATTTTCGTTAACCACCACGGCCCCTTAGTTCGTCACGAGTGAAAAGAGAAAACAGAAACTTTTAGAGGACGGTCACTTTTCTTAAAAGAAAAACCAGCTGGAAAGACGTTGGAAGTGTGAGATGTATCAGAAGCACAAGTTTCCGGTTCGTGTAGTAACAGCTGGAGATGCCACTGAGGCAGTGAAAGGAGTTCACAACCATATCTGGGATGCAGCTCATACAGAAGCTTTGAAAATGGAAGATGTTGCACGTGATCGCGCAATAAATAGCCAAGAACCACCCCAATACAATACATCTAATGCGTCTGTGGAACTGAGGAAAGCTGCTGCAGGACATATTGCGAAAACCTACGGTATCAAAAGAACGATACGAAACATCAGGATAAGGAAATGAGCAACAGCACCTTCGCCTATGAACCAACAGGAAATTGAATTTCTCGAGGAGTACAAGATAACTGAACATGAACCATTTGCTGTTTGACTCAGGACCGACAGAAGATAGAATTGTTATATTTTCCACCGCAAGAAATCTCCGGTTATTGGCCTAATCTGAACATTGGTTTGGGGACGGAACTTTTGAAACAGTGTCTCATTTGTTTTACCAACTCTACTCATTGTCTGATATTCAGGTGAACAGTTCAATTCTGCTTTTGTATGCTCTATTACCAGACAAGACAGAGGTCACATATGTTAGGTTATTACAACAGGTAAAACAGCGTGAACCACATACCACCCCAGAAACAGTTACGCCTGATTTCGAATCTGCCATAATATGCGGTATTGACCAAGAATTTCCAAGGGCTAGACGTCGAGTATGCCTCTTCCATTTCTCGCAGAGCATATCTCGAAGGATACAGGCAGAGGATTTTGGAAGAAGGTACAAAACTGACGTCAAATTTGGAAAGAAAATGCGATTGTTGTCTGCGTTGGCCTTTGTCCCAACAGAATATGTGGTAGAAGCATTTGAGGTTCTTTGCGGTAGCGGTGATAACAAGTCTGACGAAGCAAAAGGCATGACTGACTACTTTGAGGACTGCTGGAATGGCATCCTCAACGACGCATGGGACGCTAAAGCCCCTCTTCTCTATAGAAATGTGGAACTGTCACGAAGGAGTAAGACACCGTCTTTCAAGGACAAAGATTTCACTTGAAGGATGGCATCGTGGATTCGAAATGCAAATATCTCCACAACACCCTCATATGTGGTTGTTTATTGAAGCGATTGAACAGAATATCAAAACATTGCAAATAGAAGAATCTGAGTGGCGAACAAGGTAGGCCTGTGCGTAAGAAATATAGTGACTGTGCTGAAAGACTTTCCCCCCGTAGTTGTGAATTATGACTGAAATAATATTTTACAGTGTTTGAGAGGTGGTGCATAAAATAGATAGTAAAAATTAGATATTGTAGTAACAACATATTTGTATACGTGTAATAATATTTCAGAAACTTTTTCTAAATAAATGACTTCAATGACATCTGGATTTTATTCGAAATTTACATTACCAGTACTCGGTACCTGAATCATGATTATTTTCAGATCAATTAACTGAAAATCAGGAAATTTCAATTTTTTGAAATATTAACAATACTATATGACATGAAATGAATTAATGTGCTTAAGAAAGTTCTCCAAATTTTATGGTTTTTAATAAACTGTCGGTGACCAATTGTAGAATCAGTGAATTTCCCTTTAGACGAATTGTGGGTCGGTTAATTTTCCAGTCGGTGAAACTTCCCTCGGTGAACTTTCACAGATACAACTTAAACATGCAGAAGACAATGTACAGTCGTAGACACAGGGGCAGGATTACTAATAATTTACAAATGAACCGCAAATCAGCTTCATTTCATACTGATATGGAGGGATTACGATTCTGGATGGTTAGATATACGTATGCATGTATGAAATACCAAATCCCCATATAGCGAAAAGAGTGCAATCTTGGCAGAGCACAGTGCACTACAGCTTAAACCGAAAGCAAGAAATAAAAGTAGGAAACATGTTGGACGGATCATTTGCGCATAAAGCGGACTTACAAATTCGCCAGAGTTGTCCGGCACCAGCATGTTCATTTCAGAAGACCGCGAAGAGACGATTTCGGCGTTCAGCGATTCCTTGCTTAAGTATATCTGACAACCATCCGTATTCTGAATTGTCACCGTCGGCATGGTGCCAAGTGTCTGAAAACGATTAAGTAAACACATCCTTATTTAGTAAAGCAGGAGTGCACCTGGATTTGCACTTTTTGACAGTTGATCACTTCAACTGACGACACCAGATTTTCAAACACAAGGCTGAGTCGCTTACAATTGTCTGAAACAAGTTAAGAATTATAGAAAATACATGAGCCCGAATACGACTGAACAATCAGCCACAATCAAACACACATTCAACAGTATGTAACGGTAAAGAGTAAACACGAGTAATAATACATAGCAAAAATGCTTAAAATATGCGTCACGTTTTAGAAACATAACAATAGAAATCCACAAGAACAATTCCGTCGACATGGCCACAAGGAAGCTGTAGATGGGTGAAGTAAGGATAAGAAGGCTCAAGTTTACAGAGCATCTGACGCTGTCATTCACTGAGATCCTACGTATCAAACTAATGCAAATGACGAGAGGCCTGACCACTTGAAAAAGTTCTGAAGCTCCTGCTTCCATGATCCATAAAAAATGTGGGCTGAAGGATTATAATGATGAATGAAAGAAAGAAAACAATGTTTAATTTTGGCCATAACAAAGAACGCAGACAAAACTTGCTCAGCGGTCTTGAATTAGGACAAGAATTTATCTCAAGTGACGACTAAGTGAGAAAAAATATTGACAGTTGAATTATCTCAGAAGTTAAATACCTTTGCTTAGATTTTGATTAGCCCTGTTTGAAACTGTCAGATGATCCATCAATATAACAGAAATCATGAGTTAGCATACAGGCTGAGCTGACAGATGAATGAATCGCTGGTTTCCTGGATCCACTCACGCCGTGTGGGTAACTATGAATCAAATAATTCTGGAAGAGGCTTGTGTAGCTAAAATTAATTACAGGCTGTTAGAGTAGCAGGATTTAATATATGTTGATTTAAAACATCTTATTTGTGGCAAAATCACCAATGACTACTCGACAATGAACTCTTACCTAGAGTGACGGAATTTGCCTTGCCCTTTAGCTGAACAAGACTGTCCACACAGTTGTAGATATAGACCACCTGCTTCATGTCCGCGATCTGGACAGTAATGTTCTGGTTACTGACGTGATTCTCCTATATTCAATAGGTAATTAGTTTAGGGAGGCAAAAATATCAAAAACTGCTGAAAACTTACGATTATCCACTTTTTACCACCCTCGCACTGGATCAGAGGGGGCCCAGTCACTTTTGAATGTACCTTGACGCCGGACTTCGTTTCCTGAACGTGTTCCTCTACTACGGGCTCATGCAATCTTAGAGCCGGGTTCTTGTGTGTCTGCATATCCGCGGTGACCTTTTTCAAACCTGAACGTGTGCGGTGAGACGATTCAAGTTGAAAAACTTAGAAAAAGTTGTAGCACCTTTTGTTATATCCGGGCCTTTGTTGATTTCGGAAAACAGCGCACTTCTGAGGTCTGATAGTGACGGGGACTCGTCCTGTGACGGTTCAATCGACGATATGAATCCCGTTAACGAAGGAGGCGGCGGCGGAGGCTGTGATGACGCTGAAACGTTGCCCTTACTGGTTTGAGAATCCTAAAAACGCTGAAAATCAAGCATGTTTCAAAAAGCAATGGAAGTAATGTACAGTAATGCCCAGACTTACGCTACCCTGACTTATGCGAACTCGCAGTTACGCGGTTTCTTTCGCTTGGCAAAACACTGCCACCTGCTATCTTCAGTGCTTCTCTCGCTGTAATATGCATTGGAGGCGTTTCGCACGAACTCTACGCATACGATTACGATTCTGCGACCGACGACAGTTAAGACTGTTTTGTTATACGTTTTTTTAACCCTTATAAAATAATGCCGTCCGAAAGAAGTAAATCTGATTCTCCTGCACTTAATAGGAAAAGGAAAAAAATATCTTTTGATGTAAACTTAACATTATCAAGGTTTTTGATAGCAGAATGAAATTTTGTGAATTGGCAAAGAAATTTGAGATAATGGAATCCACAGTAAGAACAACCATAAAAGATAAAGAAAGAATTCTCGATGTGGTGAAAAATGCTAAATCCTTGAACTCAAGCATAATTCGTAAACGGCATGGTATTATTATTGAGATGGAACAATGCTGAAATTATGGTGTGATAATCAAGTAAAAGTGAAGATCTGTCCACTCGATCAGAGCATTATCTGCAATCAAGCAAAGCTGATGTTTGAGAGGCTGAAAGAAGAAGCTGGGG